TCACTATATGTAACTTCACTTAACGCAGTCAATTGAACCCAGAGGGTCCCGCGTTAAGTGAAATCCGCGTTAAGTGAACAACAGAACATATGGGATTAATTCCAATAGAAACCGGCCCGACCCCCCAAACTCCACTTTTTGAAGGCACATACCTATGTTGTAGTAAAAATAACATCTTAATTTTATGATGGTACATGCACACAATTAATACTTAAGAGAAATAGAGAAATACAGTCGCCAAGTTAATGTCCATTCAAATAATGGACTCAACTCCCTCCCCCTCTCACACTACACAGCCGGCTAACAGATGGTCGGTCGGTCCCTCCCTCCCCCCCCACCACCCCCCACCAACCGTTCCAAGGAGATGTGTGGGATAACCTCAAACTAAAGTTAGGAAAATATAATTGACATTGCTGGATTCCTTGTAAGACCAGGAATATTTTGAATATAAATGTCATATATTTTGCACAAAAGATAACATAGTTACCTAGAGAAAAACTTTTATCTAAAAATTGTAAGTTTAAAGCAAAATATATGATGTTTATGTTCAAAATGATCACCAAATTATAAGAATTCCAGCAATGTAAATTATATTCTGACCGGGTAATTTGTATGAATTTTATGAGCTAAAACAAATATTTTCAGTTAATAAAAAAAAAATAATCTTCACGACACTATCTGTCAATCAAAGTACCCCACCTTGCCTCCCCCCCTCTTCCAACCGCGCGGTCAGTCCCAACCCTCCCCCCCACCCCCCACCAATCCTCCCTTCCAGAGTTTTTAACATTTAGTATTAAATAATACCTCAGATTAAAGTTAGGATAATATAATTGACATTGCTGGATTCCTTGTAAGACCAGGAATATTTTGAACATAAATGTCATATATTTTGCACAAAAGATACCATAGTTACCTAGAGAAAAATTTTTATCTAAAAATTGTAAGTTTAAAGCAAAATCTATGATGTTTATATTCAAAATGATCACCAAATTATAAGAATTCCAGCAATGAAAATTATATTCTGACCGGGTAATTTGTATGAATTTTATGAGCTAAAACAAATATCTTCAGTTAATAAAAAAAAATAATAATTCTTCACACGGTAACAGATGGTCGGTTGGTCCCTCCCTCCCCCCCACCCCCACCAACCGTCCCAAGGAGATGTGTGGGATAACCACTAAATTTTAATAAATAATACCTCAAACTAAAGTTAGGATAATATAATTGACATTGCTGGATTCCTTGTAAGACCAGGAATATTTTGAATATAAATGTCATATATTTTGCACAAAAGATACCATAGTTACCTAGAGAAAAATTTTATCTAAAAATTGTAAGTTTAAAGCAAAATATATGATGTTTATATTCAAAATGATCACCAAATTATAAGAATTCCAGCAATGTAAATTATATTCTGTCCTGGTAATTTGTATGAATTTTATGAGCTAAAACAGGCAGTCAGGCAGGGTGGCGGGTGGGGCAAATCTAAAAATAGCGTCTCGGACACTCACCGCGTATATGTGGAAAAAATCCGCGTTAAGTGAAAGTTCAGCTTTGGCAAGGTACCGCGTATATGCGAAAACGCGTTAAGTGAAACCGCGTTAGGCGGGGTAAAACTGTACTGTAATGTGATACAGGTGATTAATTTTTATCTCTTGTGCAAAATACATGACGTTTATATTAAAATTATTCACTGTCTGACAAGGATTCCAGCAATGCTGGGCAGATGGGGGAGAGGGAGGGAGGGAGGGAGGAAGTGAGCGTGGGGGGGAGGGGAGCAGGAGGTGAAGTAGTACGTTTGACAGTTGGCACCCAAGGTCTAACGTGTGTTTATTTATCTGTTCTTAATTGACTAAGCTTCTCTCCTATAAAGAGCCAGTGAAATGACCTGGGTGAATATAATTTACATTGCTGGGATTCTTCTAAGATGTTGATTAATTTAAATATAAACAACCTATAATTCGCAGTAGACATAACAATTTTAGTACAGGTTGTACCTCTCTAGTCCGGCAACCTCGGGATCTGACCGGTGCCGGACCATGGAAATTGCCGGACCATGGAAATTCACCCTTTTCCTGGATAGATAGTGACTTGTGCTTATGCCTGGAAGCACTAGCAAAACTTTCTCTGCATCATGGTCTCTTTGAAGACATATTGAAGGGTTAAATGTCGTATAGTAGCTTCTCAAATTTCGCGAGTTTTTAATTCTTAATGTATTTTATTGGAACACACAAAAAATAAATAAATAAAAATTTTGACGGCGGAAACTTGAATTTCGACGGGTTTGAACGGCCCGCCAACGTGCAGACGACGTGCATAATCGTGTAAACAGCGTCATTTCTCTTATGTACAAAAGATTCATTATTGTTTATTACTGAATGTCTTTTTTATTGAATTAATGTTTATGTGTGCAAAATGAGCAATACAATTCATTAATAATACGTAGAATATTAAAACCCACGAGGAAATGACACAGCATTGTATTCGTTGATTACAAAACCAGTGACTGACTGGTTCTACATATAAAACTGAAGAAAATAAGACCTTGGTTGTAGCTGTAGTAAAATTAATATGGTTGTTTTAAGTAATGTTATTTAATGTTAATAAATGGAACAATAGAAGTAGCTAACGATAATGGTAAAGAAAAAAGAGAGATCGCGTATGTAAGTGCGCATGCGCACACGTGAAAACATATCGTCATTACTTTACATAAGAATATGAAAGCAACACTTATTTACTGTTCATATATATTTTAATTAATGTTTCTGAATTTGTTTTTATTGAATTAATGTATGTGTGTGCAAAATTAACAATACAATTTATTAATAATACGTGGAATATTAGAGGAGACGAGACGGCTGCCGGCATTGTTTATGTTAAAGCTTACGAAACCAGTGACTGATTGGTTCTACATATAAAACTGAAGAAAATAAGACCCTGAGTTTAGCTGTAGTAAAATTAATGTAAAAAAATGAATATGGTTGCTTGAAGTACCTGTAATGTTATTTAATGTTAATAAATGGAACAATATAAGTAGCTAACCATAATGGTAAAAAAAAAAGGAGACTGAGCTATGTAAGTGCGCACATGTGAAAACATATCGTCATTACTCTACATAAGAATATGAAAGCAACACTTATTTACTGCTCATATATATTGAAGGGTTAAATGTTATGCTCTGTATAGACAAGCACAGAGAGAGAGCTGCCGGATGTAAACAAACCTTAATTTCCCCCGGCTTTGTCGTTGTTGTTTTTTTACGGGGATTAGCCCACCCGGGCATAGGTCACTGACCCACATTGGGGCCTGAGGGGCAAAAATTTAATACTCCTGTAATAATAATAATAATAATAATAATAATCAAGATTAAAAAAAAAAAAAAGCTGCCTATCTACCTATTGGACAAACTAAAATCGTTCCGGACCACGGGAGTTTCCGGACCACAGAATGCCGGACTAGAGAGGTACAACCTGTACCGTAATCAAATTAGTACATGTGCACTCCAGCTTTGCACTGAGGTCATTTATTTCTTTTGCGTTTCTTTTAGTATGGTGTGTGCATGTAAATGGATGAAAATAAATGAAGAAATTTATGTAAATCTACCCAAAAATACAGTTGAAAAACTTTATATTATAAAATGTACTACAGTATTGTACACTAATGTACTACAATTTTTATCTTTTGAGTAAAATATATGACGTTTATATTTAAATTAATCTCTGTCTTGCAAGGATTTCAGCAATGCAAATTATATTCTCCTATAGTCTGAGATATTATATGAAAAACTTAAGGCCTCAAACCGGGGGAGGGGGTGAGGCGATATGATTTGACAGTTGGCGCTGAAGGCCTGCGTGTTTATTTATCATTCCTTAAGAGTGACTAAGCTCTTCTCATAATTTGCCACCCAAATGACCTAGGTGAATATAACTTACATTGCTGGGATTCTTGTAAGATAGTGATTTATTTGAATACCTGTATAAACAAGCTGTATTTGCAATAAACATAAATTTTAGTACATGTACAGTACAGGTTTGCACTTAGGTCCATTGTTAACCGAGGGACCACTGTATTACAGTGTACTTGCACTGTACAATATTGACTAAATTCACTAGATAACGTACACAACTAATGGTTGGTAAAACTTCTCATGTAAGTGAGTGTCAAGTCTGTCAGTGTGAGTGCTTGTGTCCCCCATCATAGGAGTCCGTTTTCTCTCACTTCAGGACCGTACCTGGGTACAATTTGTATAGAACAAACATAAACATTCAGAAGGTGAGTTATCCTTTACCAACGTTTCCCGTTTTCTGAGACCCTACAAGCGCGGTGGATTTGGATGTTATGTAGCGTAATATGAATTAAAGGGATTTTAAGGATGACAATGATGTGCGCAGTACAATGCATGTGTCTGTGGTGGACCCCATTCCAGTTCGCAAGTGGATCCGGATTAAGCGAGTCTGGGTTAGAGCTAGTTTACTTTATTTAAAATCAATTATGTGACATAATATGGTCCACCGGGATTTTTGGGCAGCCATTTTGGATTCATAGAGATTACAAAGTTGCCTTATCAATTTGTTACTTCTTCTAGTGGATTCCTCTTCATCAAACACCATATTATGGTCTTTTAAATCACTCTAGAATGTTACATGGGAAAAATAGGCTCCTGAAGAACATTGTGGCAGTCATATTGGATTTATGCAAGTTAATATGCAGTCCAATTAGTTGGTGTAAATAGATTCTCCACCCTCACACACCATATTCTTGGCTTTTAAACCACTCAAAAAGCTTGTTTAGAAGCTTTTATTTGGCAAAATAAGCTCTGTATAGGTATTTTGGCAGCCATACTGGATTTATGCAAATCAGACTTATTTCCCTGAGGTGAACTTGGGTGCATTTTTTATGTGTTGTTCTGTGAACCTTTGAAACATATACAGTTTTGAAGAAATTTTTTTTTGCAATATGGCACAGTGTGTTCTGAATCCTCATTGTTTTCAATTTTGCAGGTGCTCACAAGCAAATAGCATATTATTTGCTTAACAATCAATGGCAAGATGAGAAGAGTCTTGTCACACCATTCTCAGTCGATAGCTCCTCAGGTAAGTACTGTATGTGCAACTTGTGAAAAAATTTAAGCTAATTTAAAAAAAAAAATTTTTAATCAATATTTGTTATTTATACATCCTAATTTAAAAATGTATTTAGAGACTAATAAGAACATGTTACAGCAACATATTTTTTTTTTCACTTTTATTTATATGATATGTACTCTACAGTAGCTCTTTAATCAAATGTCACAAGCTACAGATATCTGACCACTAACTCACCTGCTTCAGTCTTAAAACACTTATTTAAGGAAAGAAATTTACAGATGTAGATGAACAGAATTTTTCAGTTTTATTGTGTTTTTTCTGTATGTATACATTGCTTTTAAATTACTCATAACCATGGTTAGTGCGATGTGGTACTCCTATCCTCTCAGACAGGATGCAGATGCTTGGGCTTGGAACTGTACACACAATTTGTCCCAGGCTGGCGGAGATCAGTCTACACGAGCCAATCCACAAGAATAGAGCTCCGCTCCTTACTACCTAGCTAGTCTACATTGACAAGTTTTTTCATTCCTTGTATGTATGTAATGTAGCTGCAAGTGCTACACTAGTAACCCCTAGAGTGACCCCCGCATTCTCACACATGCACTCAAACAGAATGTTGGCACCATGGCAGAACTACGGCTAAGGCTTCCCTCCTTCCATTACAATATAGAAAACTGGCTTCTTCATGCTGAGGCCTATCTTGCCCACACACCGACACTTCCGACAGATGTCGCCACACTCATATGAGTTTGCCGCTTTCAACAACACCTGGACGACTTACAAGCACTCACACTCAGCAACTGGAAGCCCTCCATCCTTTGGCAGAGGATGTGGCTAATCAACTCGAGCTGTACCACTCCACTTCCTGCCAACACCCTCTACTACATGCACCTATAAAAACTACCCCCAGAAATCAGGCTTATCCTTTCTTCCCTCAACCAAAACATCCTGTCTAATCAATATGTCACCACTGCAAACAGAATGCTGGCTCAACTCTTCACTCCAGGGCAGGCCTACAGTGCACACCAATCTTTACAAGTGCCTCTACCCCTGCCTCATCTTGTATGTCCCTCACAGCCAGCTCTCCTCCACTTATTAGCTCTACCTCACCCAGTTCTGGCAGTATCCCTTCTTAACCTTATCCCTTCATCCCACACAAACCCAACCCTTTCCAGCTCCTAGCATTTTCACCAACTAACCCATTCACTACCTACACACCCCAACCACCCAGTGCATCACCTCTTCCAACCATGTGCAGGATGCCACAATGGATGGGCCCGTACAACCCTATGTGTCCAGCACCAGGCATGCCCACAACAATTGTGATTACCCTCTCCACTGCATACGCCAACACCTTGATGATATAGAAGACCAGATGAACACCCTATGTCCCACTTTCCCCAACTCAGAATCCTCAGCAAACCAATGTCTGACAACTGTATGTGTGTTAGTACAGTATCACGTTATAGATATTTGGAACCAGCACCTGTCAGTGCTGTCCACTAGGCTCTTTTTCTGAAAATGCTGCCTGTTACATTAGGTGCCTTGATCCCACTCCACTGACTACTTCTCTGGCAGGATGCTTGGTGGACCCAGGAGCATCTCTCAGCATTCTTCCCCTATACCAGCCAGATGTAAAAACAATTCACCCTCGTTTGACCGCCAATGGCACTCATTTCCTCCTTTGGTCACCTCCAGGCCTATGTTTGGTCTGGGCCTAAAACTCCTGCTGCCATGATCATTTGTCATCATTGTGGCTACTCAACCACCTCTTGGATATGACATATTCAACTATTTCCAGTTACTTGTTGACCCAAGTCATCACCGTCTTCTTCACTGACCATCCAACTTCACTTTTTCTAGTGTTGTTGCAAACTGCAGCAGCTACTCTTTGCATCACCTCCCTTTCCCCCAACCCTGACTTCACTGACTTCCTCCAGATATTTCCATCCTTTGCTGGCACACACACCCATTCTCCTGCCCTGGTTGCACAGTCTACCACAACATCAACACTACAGACCCACCAGTTTACTCTTGCCTCCAGCTTCTTCCCTAGATTGAAATTAGGTTGTTAAGGTGGAGATTGACACCTTTCTGAGGGAGGGAGTCATTCAGCCCTTCAACAGTTGCTGGGCATCACCACTACACGTTAAAGATTAACTTTGTCTGTGCTTGTGCTTTTCATCAGATACCTGTTTTCCCAACAGATGTCTCTAAGACTGCCATCATGATGCCCCTTGGGCACAGTCATTTCAGCATTTTATGGTCCACATCATTTGGGGATTAGACTTTATGACAGTCTCCTTAGACAGCATACTTATTGCACCAGTAAACCCACCATCTGCAGCTGTTAACCCTCCTTCAGGACAACAGTGTCAGGATCCACCCAGCTAAGACCATCTTTGGTCCCCCTGCACTTGAATTTCTCAGTCGCAGGATCTCCAGTGATGGGATTAGCCCTCTAGCACAGAAGGTCATTGTCCTGCGAGAGTACTGCAGCCTACCACTGCGAAGAAATTAAAGAGTTCCTTGGGCTGGTCATTTACTACCACTGTTTCTGCCCCATGGCAGCTAATACACTGCACCCTCTCCACCACCTCCTCAGGAGGCTCCTCAAGATGTTCAAGGCTTCTTTGGCATTAGCCAACATCATAAATGATGTTGGCTGACTTACCTTGAATCTGATGCAAAAACAGTCCTCACCACTGATGACTTCTCTACAGTCATACTGCGGATCATAAATGGCAACATTAGACCCATTGGAGTCTTCTTTAAATGCCTGGACCCTTCATAATTCAAATACAGCAACTTGACAGGGAACTCTCAGTCACACACCTTGCCTTCTGCCACTTCAAGCACCTGCTGGAAGCCCACAATTCTTTTACCTATGCCATGACACATTAAACAGACACGTATTCTTCATGTTTGCAGTGCCACCTCTCCTACATCTCTGAGTTTGTCATGGATATTCGCCACATTGAACGCCCTTTCCCATTCCACCATCAACTCACTCGCACTACCGCTTGACCAATATCAACTGGCCCTTGCCCAAGAAAGCAATAAAGGCCTGGCCACCTTTAAAACCTCATCATCAAGCCTTTGACATTTCCTTGCTCCAACCTTCAGTTCTGGTGTAATATTTCCTGTGGCAACCCTCACTCATTCATTCCAGTGCTCACCATCCTGAAGTATTCTGCCATTTCCACAACATGAGCCACCCAGGCGTCAGGGCTTCACGATGCTTCCTTTTTCATTTTGTTGTCAAGCTGGGCACTCACACTGACACATGCACCTGGGCCAAGCACTGTCTCGCTTGTCAAGCCTCCAAAATTCACTGTCACATTATGTCCTCCTTAGAACCTTCACCACTGCCAACCCACAGGTATCAGACTGTCCACATTCGAAATTCTTAGCCTTTGGCAAAGTTACAACTATTTGCTCAAAATGTATCATCTGCTTTACAGGGTGGACTGGGGCAGTGCCCATGCCAGATAAATCAGCTGAATCCACTGCCTGGGCATTCCTCAACGTTTGGGTTCCTTGTTTTCCCCAGTTTAAGCTATGGCACCAACTTTTTCACTTCTGGGTAGTATCAGATACTGTACTAAACACTCTTCCACCACCCTCAATCTAACATTATGGTGGAGCATTTTCATTGTCACCTTAAGGGCACCTTCAAGACCCAACCACACCTGTTAGACAGGTGGACTCCCTTCCAAGCATCCTTCTTGGTGTTAGGACTACAATCAAAGAGGACCTATGACCCAGCTAAACTCACATATGACCAGCCTCTTTGCTTTCCATGCGAGTTCCACACTCCACCGACCAGCTTTTGGTACTGCAGTGCAGACACCAATTCCTTAGGGTTCTTCGGGATTGTGTGTCCAACCTGAGACCATCACCACCTCACCTCCCCGATCATCAGCATTCTCACCTCCCACAAGCTCTGCACGGGTTTGGGTCCATCATGATGCTAGTTGTTGTCCACTATAGCACCCCTATGATGGACCTTGCTAAGTAGTTCCCAATTCAAGCAAACACTTCATTGTTCAATATTTCAGGTAATCAGAGAGATTAGAATGCCTGCAGGTGCCTAGCTTATACTATACATGGGGGAGGGATGACTTTATAGAAGTCTATAAACACCTCAGAGGACATTACTCAGTTGAGTGTTCATACCTGGAGCTGGCAGATTCCTGCCCTGATTGAGGTCACAGCCTGAGACTGAAGAAGCCACAAGTTCAGAAAATTGTCTGGGCAAACTTCTTTGGAGTGAAAGTTATGAACTCTTGGAAGAATCTGCCAGTGTTGTGACAGCACCTAATGTAAACTTTTTCAAGATGAGACTTGTCCAACAGTGATACAGGTTCACGTACATTTTGGAGCCAGTACTTGCCAAAAGTGCATAGCAGAGACTAGACTGCTTGCCCAAGCAGTTAACAGACCAATCAATGGTGAAGAGGATAAAGCAAAAATAAAGTACCTTGCTCAAAATTAGCACATCATTGGTCCAGAAATCAATATCCTGAGAGGGTGAAGAGCCTTGTGGCAAGAGAGCTGTGTAGGTTTAACAGTGACATAGCAGCTCTTAGTGAGTCCCATCTTCCAGACAAGGGCCAAATCACAGAACAGGGAACCATCTACACTCTTATAGAATGGTAAGCCGACCCCAAAGCACAATCAGATTTAGAGAGTTGGATTTTTCACACCAGTTTGGGATCAATGAATGCTTCTAACATTCTGTGTTTCTCTAAACATCTTTTATCATTCCTCCTTCATCATTGCCTATATTCCAACACTGGATGCAGAGGATGACATCCAGGAGGCCTTTTATACAGGCCCAAAGATGTAGTACAGTACCTGTACTTTTTTTTGTACTGTCAGGAGAAGTGGTAGTTTTTGTGTTACTCCATCTCCATTTCAGTAGAAGCAGTTGATTTCTATCTCTTCCTCTCTCAATGTATTTTTATTTGGCACTTTCAGGAAAAGTGGTGGTCTTCTTGGACAAAGATAGGAAAGTGGATCGAGAGATGTATGATACCTGGACACTTGTATTCCGTGCACATGATGGCTGTGAAAAGGATGAAAATAACTGTACGGGTAAGTGTGGTGTCATACATAGACATGTAAGAAATATATATTGTACTCTATTGTGGATACTGCTTGCTTTGGAATCACACACACACACCTCACTCTCTTTCTGTACTCTACTGACAATTACAGTAGGTAGTAGGCAGCTACAAAACAGGGAGGTACTACCACCTGGGAAGATATTGGAAGTATAATGTGTTGTCTAATGGTGGACCTTGCTGCCATATGGCATCACAAAAATTGTGACTTAAGTCCCAGGTTGCTGATCCGTCTTTTTGCCTCATTTACACACAATTGCAGGTTTCAATTGTTTCTCTTACTTTGACAATACAACATACAGTACATACAATATATCATTTCTTGCTCTTGATTTTTTTTTCATTTTTGTATTTATTTATGGCTCCATTAATATTAGTAGTAGTAGTATTTATATTTATTTTTTATTTTTATTATTTTTTTTTATCATAATTGTTATTTTTTTGTTCAATCCAGAATGCGACGCCTAGCTTATACCTTGGTATTTTAATGCCTAGCAATAACTCGCCAGGCCAACCTACAGGCAATTAAAACATCTACCGGGTAATTACTTAATACATAATATTGGGAGGACACGTCGCTACCTGGCATTTAATTAGAATTTATTTTTATATATTTTTATTAATTTTATTATTATTATTATTACAGTGATCCCTCGGTTAACGAACGCCTCGGTTAACGAAATTTCGGTTAACAAATTACCTTCCAAAAGATTCTTCACATCGGTTAACGAAAAAATTTCAGTTAACGAATTCCTTACAAATTTTCCCCAACATGTTTTCGCTTGCATTCGGCTGCTCGCCAGCTGTAGTATTAGTCCGCCAATACAGTAATCGGTTCTAGGGCTTAAATTCATTACCATTTTAGTAAATATCAAGAAGGTTGTACTTTTCAATAATTTTAAAAGTTCTATACGTATTAAATTTTTTAGTCATTTTAACAATTATTGAACATAATTGAAGTACTGTACAGGAAACTAGTTTTTCACGCGCCAAACAGCCACTCAACACACCAAGCTTGGCATCAGTTTCCTGCACAGAAAGACAAGGTCAAAGAAGTGAAAGTGAGAGACAAATCTACCAGACTGTTTAGAGGTAGATCATTGATAGCAGAAACAGAGAGGTTTCTACAGAATTTATTTGTGAAAGAGTCAGGGAGATTTATGAACATTTAAAGGAAGATCAACCTGGTTCTTCTGGCACAGAGTTTGAAGATTTTCGGGCAAGCAAGGGCTGGTTTGAAAAATTTAAGAAAAGAAGTGACATTTTCAGTGTTATTAGGCATGGTGAGGCTGCAAGTGCAGATAAAGAAGGAGCAGCAAAGTTTGTAGTGGACTTTAAGAAACTGGTGGATGAAGAAAATTATCTTCCACAGCAAGTGTTCAATGTGAACGAAACTGGGCTGTTCTGGAAGGAAATGCCCAAAAGGACATTCATCACCAGAGATGAAGCCTCTTTACCTGGGCATAAACCCATGAAGGACCGACTCACTCTATTGCTTGGTGCTAATGCTTCAGGGGATTTCCGACTGAAGCCTATGCTTGTCTACCACTCTGAGAACCCCAGGGTGTTCAAACAACAAAAAGTGGTAAGAGGAAAGCTTGGGGTTTATTGGAAGTCCAACCGTAAGGCATGGGTGACAAGACAGCTCTTTAATGAATGGGCTGTTGAGGTGTTTTGCCCTTCTGTCAAGAGCTACCTAACCACCAATAAACTCCCTTTAAAGGCTCTTCTCCTAATTTATAATGCCCCTAGCCATGACCCTGAACTTGCCAGCACATTGGAGGCTCAATTTGACTTTGTCAAAGTGTTGTTTTTGCCTCCCAACACTACATCAAGCATGCAGCCAATGGACCAGAATGTGGTCAGCAACTTCAAGAAGTTGTACATGAAGAAAATGTTCCGGTGTTTCCAGGCAACTTCCACTGATCCTGAACTAACACTGGCACAGTTCTGGAAGACACAATTTAACATCCTGGAGGCTGCAAAATTGATTGTGTCCTCATGGCAAGAAGTCTCCATTAGATCCCTCAATTCTGCATGGAAAGCACTGTGGCCATCAGCAGTTCATGATTTTGAGGGATTTGAAGAAGAAGCAGAGTTGGACAAGGAGATTGTGTCCATTGGTCAGTCATTGGGCCTCGAAGTGGAGGAGGTTGATGTGGAAGAGCTTGTGATGTCTCATGAGCAGGAACTTACTCCTGATGACTTGCAGCAACTGGATGAGATGTTGGAGGCTGACAGTGGTGAGGAGGAAAGGGAAGTGATGACCATACCATGTCTTCTTCAGATTTAAAAGATATTGTTCACCACCGGGAGATGTCCAGGAAACTGGCTTCAAGGCACCCAGATGTGGAAACAACAGAACCTATTTTGTGTAATGTTGAGGAGAGAGTGGTCTCCTTCAAACATCAGTTAATGATGAGGAGGAGAAATGCCCCACAACCCAAAATTGACAGTTTCTTTACTAAAAGACATCGGGAAACAGATGCTACCCCTCAGCCTTCCACTTCAAGAATGAGAGAGGATGTTCCTGGTGGAGAATCTGTCAGTCCAGAGGTTCCTGACATTTTCATGGAAGGTGACTCACCTTCCAAGAAGCAGTAAAATGCTTCTCCTCCACCCCCACTTCCTTCTCCTCCTTCACCTCCCATTTCAAATTCACATCAGCATCATCATCCAGGAGCCTTCTACATACACACCTCAAAGTAAGTGTACTTTAATGCATTTTTCTAACTTAAGGTAATTTTCGGTGAGCTGGAACCAATTAACCAAAAACCCATTGAACCAATGGTTTCGGTTAACGAAATTTTCGGTTAACAAACAACCTTCTGGAACAAATTGTAGTATTCGTTAACCGAGGGACCACTGTATTATTATTATCTTCATCATAATTATTCTTATTATTTTATAATATTTTCACCCCCCAGGCCTTGATGTGGGTCATTATAAATGACCTGTGCCTGGGTGGTCTAATGTCCATTAAAAAAAAAAAAAAAAGGTTCTTGTGATATAGTCCAGAATGCGACGTCTCTCTTTATACCTAGGTATGTAAATGCCTAGCATTAACTCGCCAGGCCAACATACAGGCAATTAAAACATCAAATACTAATTTAAATCCTTGCCAACTCAGACACTTTAACTGAGGATTTACTGTACAGTATATGCACTCACAATTCTACATACAAAATGTGCAAAAATAAATAGATAAATAATTCAAATTATTATAAGATAAAAAATATAAACTGAATAAACATTTCTTTTTTTGCCAGAGGAGAATTAGCGGGACGAGCTACGTGGTGACCCTGGGGTTTTAACCTCTGGTTCCCCATGTTTATATATGTCCTGTCATAAACTGTCTTCTTCCATATATATACTTCCACCTGTGGGGCAAGCAGTGCTTGACAGCTGTCGCCGTTGTCAATTCTGAGGGAATGGGGGGGTGCCCAGACTGTAAGAATTTTCATCGTCTTAGCCCAAATTACGATGTGATATAATTCTACCTTCGGTTTAATAATAATACAGTAGTACCCCGATTTACTCGGTCAATTGAACCCACGGGGTACCGCGGAAAGTGAAAACCGCGTAAAGTGAACAACAGAACATATGGGAGTAATTCCAATAGAAACTGGCCCGACCCCCAAACTCCACTTTTTCCGACACAATACCCATGTTGTAGTAAAAATAACATCTTAATTTTATGATGGTATGCACACACAATTAATATTTAAGAGAAATACAGTCGCCAGGTTAATGTCCATTCAAATAATGGACTCAAATCCCACCCCCCTCTTCCCAGCTCACTGACCCCTACCTCTCTGAGAAATGTTTGGGTGAAAACACTAGATTTTAACGTTTAGTAATAAATAATACCTCAGACTAAAGTTAGGATAATATAATTGACATTTCTGGATTCCTTGCAGGTCAGGGAATATTTTGAATGTAAACTTCATATATTTTGCACAAAAGATAAAATATTTGCTTTGTGTAAACCAAATTATTACATTAGATCTAAAATTTGTATGTCTAATGCAAAATCCATGATGTTTATATTCAAAATGATCATCATATTGTAAGAATTCCAGCACTGTAAATTATATTCTGGCCAAGTGATTTGTATGAATTTTATGAGCTAAAACAAATATCTTCAGTTAATAAAAAAAAAAATATTCTTCACGACACTATCTGTCAATCAAAGTACCCCACCTTCCCCCCCTCCTCACACTCACGCCAGCTGGGTCAGTCGGTCCCAACCCTTCCCCCCACCCCCCACCTTCCCTCCCTACCAGAGAAATTTTTGGGAGAAAACAGTATCTTTACATTTTTAGTAATAAATAATAACTCAGACTAAAGTTAGGATAATATAATTGACATTTCTGGATTCCTTGCAGGTCAGGGAATATTTTGAATGTAAACCTCATATATTTTGCACAAACGATAAAATATTTGCTTTGTGTAAACCAAATTATTACATTAGATCTAAAATTTGTATGTCTAATGCAAAATCCATGATGTTCATATTCAAAATGATCATCATATTGTAAGAATTCCAGCAATGTAAATTATATTCTGGCCGGGTAATTTTTATGAATTTTATGAGCTAAACAAAAAATTATACTTCATCCGCGTATATGAGTAGATGCACCGCGGAAAGTGCAAGTCCGGTTGTGGCGAGGTACCGCTTAAATGAGAAATTGCTGAAAGTGAAACCGTGTAAAGCAGGGTAATACTGTACCTATTATTATTAAATGATAACTTATTTTGTTCCTTTCTTAAGTGTCAATGGTCTTTTAAAGACCCACGACTATCTTTGTTCCAGCAGGAAGCCTCGTATCTGGTGTGTTGGGAGGGGGATGGTGCCACCTTCATAATCTTTCATAATACAGTAATAGCTCCATTAACCAGAATCTCTCAAACCTGAAACTCTCCATTAACCGGAAATGAAATTTGCTCGGAATTATTCCAGAAAATTCC